CGCGCAGGACACCCGCCCTTTGATTAAAAAGCGGATATCTCGCCTGAGCCATAAGTGACGGAGGTCGGCAAAAGCCAATCGAGCTTTCTGTATCCAAGCTAGGATTTTTGAATGATCCCACTGAGATATATTTTTGGAACAGTATCTTCGAACACTAATCTTTTTGATTACCGCTAATACTTTTACTATCTCTACTACTATGGGATTTGAATATAAAATTCAGTCTCTGTGTGCTAATGTCGTATGGTGACGTGGAATGATAAACATACGGTACAAAGTTCTACATTGTAGCTGACTAAATGATTGTTCAGTATTTAATTTCAACTTATCTTAATCATGTTAAAAAGTTGTATAATGTAATCCAATACACATTTTAGGAGTGGAAATGATCAGGCAAAACCATCCGACGATATAGAACCCATTATAAAACCAACTATTCGTACCAAAAGACATATTCCTAATTCAAAGTAAGTTCTTTATTATCACTAAACTCATTTTAATGTGAATATTGTGTTTTTAATTAAATGTTTAAAAATACGTTTCAATTGACGATAAAACAAATTTTGTCGTAACCAGTGATTAGAGACTTTGAATGGTATGGCTCGAAATTATTTGCAGTGGCGCAGATGGCGCATCCATTCCTTCAGTGAATTTCGCTTTGATAAACTAATGTTTTTGTATGATATGTCATATGTGCTATTCAGTTTTAACTGAGACTGCGATTGCATCATGCAATCGATGAAACCAGTTTTGTTTGTACTTGTGTCAAACCAAAATTCTGGGTATCAAAATCATATGAGTATGACAGGCTTCTCGTTGTCGGGAGAATTTTGCCAAAAAGCAGATTTCCACTTGCGTATATCACAGTATCAGTAAATTTAAGGGTTACCTAAAAGTCCAGACAGTCAGTCAGATGCAACTTAGAACTTCGTACGTAAGTACATCAGTTCATGTTGCCATACCACATCAGCACAGAGAAGTAATTGTCGATTCAAATCCAATAGTCGAAGAGGTAGTAAGGGAATTAGAAGTAGTCGGAGAGGTTAGGGTTAGAAGATACTATTCAAGAAGTATGATTCAGTGAGAAAAGTTTACAGAGTCGAAACTAGAGGTGTTGAAGAATCCAGAAGATTAGCATTTGAGAGAACACACAGAATAAATGCACCGGCGCCATTGCGAACGACTTTGAGCCATGTCATTCAAGGTCTCTAACCATCGATTATTATCATCTCGCGGACCACAACCAGGTAGTCGACAACTACCGACATGGCTCAATCCACTAGTCAGTGACTTCATGGATTTCTGCCATGTTTTGGTCTGGCCGCCCCTAACTTTCTTCCAACCTATTCCTACACTACAAAACAAAGTTCGACGAGGCAGTCGGTGGTTGGGCATACGTAACACATGTCCCAACCACCTCAACTGATGAAGTTTCACCACTTCATCTATTGATCTGCCATCCTTACTTAGTACTCGTTTCCTAACGACAGCATTGCTTACTCGGTGATCATTGTGATCATTTGTTTCACACTATTTAACAATCACATTGCGATTCCGAAAACGCACCTAAATAGTAGATTAACGTTGTCATTTTTTAAGACACAAAAATGTTAGCAAATGTTAGTTTCTGGCATACATTAAATGAAAATTCATTTGGACAACTTTATAGCACATTAAGTCGTAGTTGATCATTTTAACTAGTAGTGTTTAAAATACGTATCGTTCAGCTTACTCAACTACAGTTGTGTCTTTAATTTCAATGTTGTACAGTATGATACATTGTATTTACTGTCAAAACAAATAATCGCTTTTAACTGCCATGCTCTTTTTTCATTGTGAATTAGTGTAGTTGCCTCATTTAAATAGGCTGCTGTTTATTTATTATCAAAGGAAATCATCCTAAAATACCTTTTAGTTTGATTTTAATAAAAATGAAATTTATTCGGTCATTCATAACCATTATTGTCTTACCACTCTTATAAATACCCGACCCGGGCGAAGTCGTACTGCTGACTGAAGAGGGGTGTGACAGCAGTAAGTTGTTTCCCTCGGGCAACCAGCATCTGCAGCGATGCTGCCTTCTCACAAAAAGAGAAGGGTTAGAAAATGTCGACCCTCACCCTACCTCACGGCTTTCCGTCTCCGGCGGTAAGGGTGCACACTAAGGGCTTTCAAGAGCGGAGCTAAAAGTCAAAAAACACTTCATAAAAAGGCCGTACGTGACCGGCCTCAAGCAGTTGTCCTTTGGGCTCTGCGGTCACGCTCCCAGGTCTTTAAGACCAAGGCTAATCTACCTTCCTTTTCAGGTTCCTCAAGAAACAACCTTCCACGGTGTGGGTAGCCGGGAATCGACAACTACCCTCATACCCGTAACAGCACACGAGACCAAATTGTTCAAAATCAAGTCCTTCTTACACCCCCTAATACTTCTTTTATATCCACGACTAACTCTTCTCACATTCGTTTATCACGGTGCACAACTAATGGAAACGATGCGAGTTCATGAAACGTCATTTCTGGTCTCCTGAAACTCCGCTCTAGACTACATGTTGGAGCATTTAATGTACGAACATTTGAGACCTTGAACGACATGGCTCAAAATCGTTTGCAATGACGCAAGTGCATCCATTTGTTGTGCTCTCTCAAATCTTAATCTTCTGGAATCGTCAGCACCTCTGCCTTTCTCTTTCTAACCTTATCTTACTGAATTATACTTCTTAAATAATATCTTTAAACCCTAGTCTTCTTTATTACTATTAATACATCTGCTACCTCTATCACTCTTGGATTTGAACTGACATTTGCGTCTCTGTGCTAATGTGGTATGGCAACCAGAACTTATATACATACGTACGAAGTTCTACGTTGCAATTGACTGACTCTTATAAATGTCCTGTCAGACCCCACTTAAATTAAGCTAACCTAAACACTAAACTTATATTTAGGCTTTCTAGTAATTTAAAAGATTTCTCATTGAGAAATTTAGGTTAGATTACTTATATGTGAATTTGTAGCAAATACGTCTTTCAATGTTCAATAATGTTCACAGTACTTCAACCTGTTTCTTTCTCTTCATCTGCTTGCTCATCCTGTAGTTTGGGATGTACTAGAGTGGCGTGGTAATAAAAAACTGTTAAGATATTCATCCAGTATCCTAATAGAATTACTAATCAATTCCTATTGGTTAATTCCTACTGGTCAATTTTATGGTCATCCTAAATATCAATGTCACGTACTCCAATGTTGTTTCTTATTGGTCATCTTAATGGTCAATGTCACAGACTTCGACGCTGTTTCCTAATCAACCTAAATGCATAAATACGCATTATCTGTAACGTTTTATGACCCGGATCCCTAGTCATGGATCCTGATTATCTTCTCTTTCTGGATGCTCGTAGAATGCAGGTTCTACTTCATATCAAGCCTTCTTTTGTTCTATGGGGGGTTGAAGAATGCGGTTTGCCCCCTCGAAATGAAAAATGTTGCTTCAAGACTGGGTTGCATCGGCACCTGAACTAGTGATAGGGAGTGAAGTAGTCGAGCGTGTTGATCACTTCGCTTATCTTGGGAGTCTCATCAGTGCCGATGGCCTGGTGACTGACGAAATCTCAGCACGGATACAGAAGGCTCGATTAGCTTTTGCCAACCTGCGTCACTTATGGCGTAGGCGAGATATCCGTTTGCTGACTAAAGGACGAGTGTACTGTGCAGTAGTTTGCCCCGTCTTACTTTATGGCTGTGAAACATGGCCACTGAGAGTAGATATTCGTAGGTTACTGGTTTTCGATCATAGGTGTCTTCGAAGCATTGCTCGTATATCGTGGGACACTCGAGTGAGCAACGCTGTTATTAGGAATCGGGTGCTAGTTAAGAATGGCAGATCAATAGATGAAGTAATGAGACTTCATCATTTGAGGTGGTTAGGACATGTGTTGCGTATGCCTAACCACCGACTGACTCGTCGAGCTCTGTTTCGCGATGTAGGAGTAGGTTTTAAGAAAGTTAGGGGCGGTCAAACCAAAACATGGCAGAAATCCATGAAGTCATCGACGAGGGGACTTAGCCATGTCGGTAATTTTCGACTACCTGGTTGGGGTCGTTAACACCTCTAGTTTTGTCTTTCTAAACTTATCTCACTGAATCATGTTTCTTGAATAATATCTTCTAATCCTAACCTCTCCGATTACTTCTTATACCTTTACTAACTCTACTACTATTGGATTTGAATTGACAATTATATCTCTGTGCTGATGTGGTATAGCGACCTGAACTTATGTACTTACGTACGAAGTTCTACGTTGCATCTGACTGACTGACTGACTATGGGGGGTTGGGGACATTTGGATCCTCGCTCTGGTTTTCGGACTAAGGTAAAAACTCACAATAGTTCAAGCCTATCAAAATGACGTGTTTACATTCAAGCGTAACAAAAACATATACAGATAGCTTTAAATGATGGAAATGGAATCCCTTGTTAAATGAACGAAAAAAAAATAATACTTCAAAACTCTAGATATCACACTTTTATTGAACGTTGAAAACATGGTTTATGAACAGTTGTCTAAGCAAAATACTTCGTATTCGTTGGCCAGACACCATCAGCAAAAACGTACTGTGGGAGAGAACAAACCAAATTCCAGTGGAGGAGGAAATCACGAAAAAGTAGTGGAAGTGGATAGGATACACACTACGAAAAGCACCTAACTGCGTCACGAGACAAGCCCTCACATGGAACCCTCAAGGCAAAAGGAAAAGAGGAAGACCAAGGAACACATTACGCTGAGAAATAGAGAAAGACATGGGAGGAACGAACAAACATTTGACAGAACTGGAGAGAGAAGCCCAGGACAGAGTTGGTTGGAGAAAACTGGTGAGCGGCCTATGCTCCATTTGGGGGTAACAGGCGTAAGTAAGTAAGTAACTAAGTAAAAAGTATTCTCACACTTAAATATCTATTCACATCAGTGTTGTTTCTTTTTTCCCCTTTACACCCCTTCAAGCCAACAAATAACTTGTGATATCATTTTGACTGATCAAAATGATCCATCACTTATCAATAATACACTAGTAATGACATCAAAAGAACAACAGCAAATAATTAATAATGACAAGAATAATAATACGTCAACTACTACTGATATTATCATAAAATCAACTTCTCAATCAATTGAAAATATGAAATTATCATCACCGATAAAACAATCAAACAGTTCAAGTTGTTTAACCAATCAAAAGGCAGCAAGCGAATCCACAACACATCAACAAACAACTATGGAATGTCCAATGAATGCAGTTGCTTTACGCAATTTAGCCTATCAAACATGGCGTAGTCGATCAGTTCAAAGTGCACGTATTGAACGTTTAACAAGTTTACGCAATGAAATTGATGAAACAAAAAAAGAGAAAGAGGTAAATAATTAATTTTTTTTACAATCTCTTGTTAAATGTTACTTTCAAATACCTAGTTGTAGGATCCAAACTAAAGTTTGGATCTAATATTCATCATAAAAAGGGGTACTACCCCTAACTCAGGTCTCATATGGTCGAAAAATGAAAATTTCGGAAACGCGAAAAAAACATTACCCAACATAAGGGTAATAGAAGTGTTTGGGCCGATTTGCATTAAGCTGGGCTGCCTCTTCTACTATCCTGCGCCATATATGTGTACACCATATGCTATACTGCTATCTGGAGCTGAAGGTCTCCTATGAGACTTGAGGTTCGCTGTGAATATTGTGGATGGATTTGCTTTGCTTTGGTAAGCATTGTTAACAGTCCATATACAAAATTGGTTAGCAGAGTGACCGATTTCATTGATATAGGTGGTTGTTTTGCGACATTCCCGAGGGCCATTGTCATCGGGGTGCTGTATTACATATCACCATTGCTAATAATAATGAGTTTGACAGTCATGTAAGCTGGATGGGTCGAAATGGCCTGTTCATGCGGTGCAAATTGATTGACGTGATCATTGATCGGAAATATATATACCATTGTGTGTATATGAAATGGTGTGAATGGTCCATCAGGGTATGAGGTACCTGTGTGGTTGCACCACAGGATTGAGCCGAACTGTTCATGTAGTAATGGTAAAACGTGTCCAGTCTCTTTGGTTCTCCTGAAAACCAATGTAAAATTGCCCTAGACAATACAGGGTAAATTTATATAATTGAATTGCGAACAATTCATCATAAATATAAATATATATCGTTACCTAATAAAAATATTACCACTCAATTGTTTCACCAACAATTGTTCAATTAATCAAATCTATAGTAACAAATAAATGATATTCTATCCTTCCTGGATAGATCAGATTCATTCGAGAGATAATATTTAGTTGTTTTATAACACAGAGTGTTTCCAATTCTAGAAGAGTGTTTCAATTCACAATCAAAATGTACAATTTCAGTCAAAGCAAGCGACCGACACAATCAAAAGAGGAACAAATCAATATGGCTGTCGCCATGACAAAGTGTCAGCTTAAAAAACAAAATAAATGCAGTTCAGAAGGAAACGTAAAAACTCAGTAAAGTCAGAAGAAATAGAAACTATAATAAAATACAAATATTATCATCTCAAAATGGGATTGAACAGATTAACAAAATTTACAACTGAAGGAATCAATAAGAACAAATTACAAATGTATACAACATGGAGGGATTTCCACAAACAAACCCTTCAAAAAATGCATCTTACAATAGTAACACCAAAATATGATGCGCACATTACCAATTTACTTAAACCAGTGTCCATGTTGAAGATTTAATGATCACTAAAGGAACAGAAAAACATGATATGAGTGAAGATGGAACATGGCTAACAATAGAATTCAGTACATACGTTTTCTTTTGTTTAGGGAGTTGTCTGCTGGACGGTAAAACCTACATTTTCTCCCGAAGTTGATGTCCATTCCAGGACTCGAACCCGCTTGCTTCAAACTCCATCAGGTATATAAGGATGAACTAGATCGATGTAGTTATAGTAGATAAATGTGGATAAATACTTCAATGCTCGAAATTAAATTTTTAGTGAAAATTATATTCATATACGCCACACTCATATATCCAATCTATAAAAAATAACCGGACAAAACTAAATAATATATATATATATATATATATATATATATATATGCTTGCTATTGAAAAGTGAACAAATAATCGTACACTTTTAAAATAACGATTCATAACAATTAGAATACTTACAAGCAATATATAGATTTTTTTGAATCATCCTTTGTTAGACCACCATTAGAAACCTGGAAGCACTGGATGGCCGCTTTGTCCTGTTATGGGACTCGTCAGTAACTACCAAAGAAAATTGGATGAGGCTACTCAATATCCCATGATTGATCAGAGTTAGACAACAACACCGTTGGTTACCGGCTCAGCGGTCCAGAGGTTAAACGTTCATGCGCAAGATTGAAGGTCCTGGGTTCGAATCCTGCAAGTAGCAGGAGTCGTGGATGCACACTGCTGATAAGTTTCATGCTAGGTCGAAACGGCCGTCTAGTGCTTCCAGGTTTCTAATGGTGGTCTAACAATGATTTTGTTATCAATGCACGTAAGCAGGTCATTTGATATGCTTGAACTATTACGAGTTTACCTTAGTCAGTAAACGAGAGCGAGGATCGAGGATCTGGCGACACGATATGCTAATCTAATCCGAGCATCCCAACCCCCATTGAATAAAAGAAGAAGAACATGTATTCTACAAGCATCCAGAAAGCACGAGGTCCGAGTCCAGAAGAGAAGCAGGATCCCTAACTAACATTGAAGTCCGTGACATTGACAGTTAGGACAACCAATAGGAAACCAGATTTGAAGTGACATTGATAGTTAGGACAACCAATAAGGTACAACATTTGAAGTATGTGACATTGATAGTTAGGATGACCAATAGGAATTCACCAATAGAATTAATTAGACTTACAAACAATCATTTTAGGAGGGATATTGGATGAATATCCTAACAGATTGATTAATTCATAAATTCATAAAAAATATTCAATTAATCTCAAATAATTTTATTTTCTTTCTAAAAATTAGAAATTAGAAAGATTGAAATCAAATGAAAATTCATTTCAAGCATGGAAACAAAGTAAACATCAACTATTAATTGATACAATAAAAAAACAGAAAGCAGCAGAATTAGCACAGAAACAAAAGTTGGAAGAAGAACAAGAACGTAAAATGAATTCAGAAAAGGTAATGTGATTATTACACTTAACTGTTTGTTTTTGACGGTAAAATAAGCCATAGAGTTGGCTATGGATGGCATAGTCAGCAGAAAGCCATGAATCTAAGTTTTGTGCTAGTGTGAGCATTTTTTTTTATCAAGGAAACTAATTCTTACTGTGTGATTTGAACCTATTCCACTAAGTATTGGGTTCGTCACTAAGTATGCTTGAGGCTATTACGAGTTTACCTTAGTCGATAAACGCGAACGAGACAATAAACCAGCGTCCAGTTAGGCTACCTTGAATCCCCAGGCTGAAGTAAAAAGG